AACAGTAGTAACAACTGAACAGCACATGTGGCAAAGTGCCTGTGTCACTTGCAGCGAGTGCTTCTTGCCTGCCCCACTTCAGGTTCAGTTATCTGGCAGGACAAGAAGCTTGTCCCCCCCTCTAAGATACAAGTGCTAGAAAGGCTCTGTCAAGAAGCAGCTTTGCTCCCCACGTAACTAAGGGGGATCGGTGTGTACCGTGCTGCTGGTGCCCTTCAAACCTCCAAGCATTTTCCTCATCTTGGCCTGTTTTAAAAACAGGCATTTCTGAGGTCTGGGAGTAACTGGAGCAGCTCGGTTGACTCCTAAAGCATAATCCCCAAACCAGCAGAAGGCACTGGCAGCCTTGGCAGCATCAGACCTGTCTTTGGCAGCGTCTGGATCTGCCTTTGAGGAAAACCTGTGAGGATGCTTCTGACACCCATTTAGGAAGGGACAGTTCTGTCTCCTGTGAGATTCCTGCCTTCTGCCTCTTGTATCCTTGGGAGCATCCGGGGGAGCCCTGGCTGGGTCTGTGTGGTCACCAGGTACAGATAGGCTGCTCCAAGGCAGGTGAGCTTCATGCTAAACCAGCGAGCACTGGAAGAAGGGAATAATCAGTTCCCAGTGCGGCTGGTTTACACATGGTAACGTTTTCCAGCTGCCTTTTGCTGGGGTTCCTCAGCTCCTGTAACGCTGGTGGCTGAAGAAGCTGCTCTTGTCTCAGCTGTAGCTGATGGGGTGTGTGCACTGTTGGTTGAGAGGGAATGGCTGTGATCTGAGTTCAGAGGGTGAGGTTTAACATCTCGCATGTACATTGCAGACACAGCAGGAGGAGACACTCCAGAAGCCCACAAAGGACCAGCAGTTTACAGTCCTTCTCGATACAGCTACCAGGTAAGTTCTTTCCTGTATTACCTGCCCAGTCTGAAATAAAGCTTTTAACAGGATCTGGGGGGGATCTGGGTTTGGCTGCCAGCTATTCCCAGTCCGGCTCCACTGAACACCCTTGGCATGGGAAGGAGGTCAGTCTGACGTGCCTTTTCTTCTTCTCCCCACTGACTTACTCAGCTCCTGCAGTCTGACAGTCCCCAGGCAGAGTCACAGGCCCTTCTCCAGCAGAGTTCCTCCCCCTACAGAGGACACCTTACTCCGTCTCCTGGGTACAGCTACCGAGCAGCAGCACAGAGGACAGGACACAGCCTCTCTCACGGCTCCTCAGAAGCATCCCTCTCCTCCTCCTCCTCCTCCACCACCTCCTACTCCAGCCCTGCCCACTCGGTCTCCACAGACTCCTCTGCCCTGTTTGCAGGGAACTCGGGGTATTACAGCAGCCAGCAGCACTCTGGCAGCATCAGCAGCAGCCTCCTGAAGAAGAGCTGCCCTGCTGCTGCCAGCCCAGCACAGCAGACGCCTGCGGACTCTTCTTTGGCCTCCGAGTCGGGCTCCCAGTCCTGCACAGGCACCTCGGGCTCCTCCGCTGCGGCCCCAAGTGCCAGGTCACTGCAGTCAGACTTGAGGACTATGAGCCTGCCGAGCTCGGGGCAGTCTGTGCTCTACCAGGGCTCCCGGGGGGCAGTGATTTCCAGTGCACAACACTATCAGCACCGCGGGGGGAGCAGTGTCCATCAATACAGACTTCAGCAGCTCCAAGGTTCGGGAGTAAAGACTCAAACAGGACTTTCCTAGGGCTGCCTGGACTCCAGGAGGACAAAACTGCCCATAGCTCCTTCCAGTCACCTCTGGAAGTGGCTCCTGGGCCAGTGTGGGGAAGCTTGCACCCGATGCTGGGGTGCCAGGGGTCAGAGGCTGAGGTCTGACACGCACGGGTGAGGTTTGTGAGCAGTGTTGGCCTCTGGCCTTGTAGGAGAAGGCAGATGGATTCCTCTTGAGGCAGAGACTGTAGCAAAGCTGTCCCCTGGCACGTGGGTGCATTGGAAAGAAATAGGCAAGTGGTTGAAGTGCAATGACTGCGGTGCAGCCTCTGCCTCTCGTCCGTGCCCGTGGCCACAGTCACTCATGCAGCACGGACGGCTTATTGAACACGAAAGCAGTTTCCAAGGCAAACCTTGGGGGAAGTGGATCTCCAAATCCCAAAGCTCTCTCCATAGGTCAGGTTCTCGGTGCGGGCTGGGGAGGGCTTCAAATCCGTTACGATCATTCCAGTCACGAGCAGACGAGCAGCACGCTCCCGGCCGGAGCTTTTCCAGGACAACAGAGCCTCTGCAAATGTGAACTTAGCACGGGGAGGGGTGGTGGGGGGGGACACAGGGAAGGGGTTGGAGCGCATGTGCCTATGGCTGCAGAGCATCCGGGATGCACTGGGATCGCCGCTCTGTGAGCAGGAGCGGTGCTGCGGAGTGATGGGGGATGCTTGGTGAGCCAAGCGATGCTGCGGTGCTGGGGGATGTCATTCCCAACCCGGACACAGTGCGCTGTCTGTTCGATTCCATACGATTGCCAGCTTGTTTCTCACTTGTTTACTGTAATATCGGGCGTGTTTTTATTTATCTAATTTTATATTCAGTTATAACCATCGTAGGTTAGCTAATATATGACAGGTGTCATCCCTGGTGCTGCAGTGGAACTTCTCCTTTCTCTTGGATAACATAATGCTGTGAGTCCGTCTCCCCTGTCCTTTCAGACGCAGTCTTCTTCCTTTCCGGGTTTCGTTTTCCGGTTGTTTTCTGTTTGGTTTTTTAGGACTGTTACAGGTTTCTCCGCATTCACAACCCAAAGTCAGGTGTAGGGGGAGACTTTTAAACTATTGAAAACAAACAAGAGTCACTTTCTCACCCTGTCTGGCTGTGAGCGTGTCGGGATGGGACTTGTCACCGCGCCATCGGGTGGCTCTATACTGTATAATAGAGGTGTAAACTTCACTCGGCTTAGCCCTGGGGGTGCAGCCCCCCCCTCGGTGCTGGGCAGGGCACAGGGCAGGCGGGCTCTGCCCTGCCAGGGGGCATGGGGTGGGGGCCCTGTCCCTAAGGCTCCGGCACCTTTGGGCGCAGCAGTGGGGCAGGAGGGAGGGACCCTGGAAAGCCCTTGGAAGGGTGGGGGCTGAGGCTTCTTCCTCTCGTGGAGTTTTTACACCGTGTTGTAACATTTGAACTTTCACAAGAGATGTAATAATTTTGATAATAAAAATACTTAACTTGAAAAAAAAAACCAAAACATGGTATTTTTGAGAGTTTCTTTTCCAGCAGGGTTGGGGGGGTGGTGTCTTTCTCCTGTCCCTGCAGGGTAAATGGAGCCTTATAGGAGCAGCTCTTCCTTGTGCCAGGGAAAGGCAGCATTTGGTGCAAGAGGAGAAGGAAATTCCCTGGGCAAGAGAGCTGGGATGGGTCAGCCTGGAGAAGAGAAGGCTCCTGAAGGGGAGACCTTAGAGCAGCTCCAGTGCCTAAAGGGGCTGCAGGAAACCTGGAGAGGGGCTTGGGACAAGGGCCTGTAGGGACAGGACAAGGGGGGGGTTCAGTTCTCCTGCTTCTTGCCCTTTTAGGAAGGCCCAGATGTGCAGAGCCTGGAGCGGGACCTACGAGGGCCTCAACCACCCTCACTGCAAGGCATGAGCCAGCAGCCATAGTGCAGTGCCATGGGGAGGGCTGAAGCACTCCCAGTGACAGACAGGACCCCCCCACCCCACTTCTGCTTTGCCACGTGGTGGCACAGACCCTTTCCCCCCCCTCGTGTGCCAGCCTGTGGGGATGAAGGCTCAGCCCCATCCTCATCTTCCCTTTGCCTGACACCCACCCACCCGCTCTCCCAGCCCATGTGGCCGTGCCACGGCCCAGTCCTTCACCCTCCCCTCACACCATCACCTCCTCCCCACACCACAGGCCTCCGAGCTCGTCTGGTTTGAATTATATTTCTCAATAAGGTTTTGTGAAACACCGTATCAAACTTTGTACTAAAATACAGATATATTACAGCTACTGTATTCCTTTCTCCACTGATCCGTGTGGGTTTTCTGCCTTGGTTTGGTTTCCGATGCAGCCGGCAGCAGCACTCTCCACTCGGCACCGGGAGGCTCCAGCGGGATGCTCGGGTGCCGGAGGAGGGACGCGGCTGGCAGAGCCCGTTGGCAGCAGCAGCACCGGCGCCGTCCCGGGTGACTTTGGCTCCCAGACGGTTCCTGGGTTCAGCTCCGGCCCTTGGCCACCACTTACCTGCTCCACCAGCCCCGGGCCGTGGCTCCTGCAGCGCCCTTCATGGCCATCCCCAGTGGCTCCGCTCCCAGCGCCTGGGTCCAGCCCTGCCAGGGGTGTCCCCCCCCCCCGATCCCCCCGATCCCCGGGGAGCCCTGCAAACAGCCCCCGGCCGCTCGCACTGAGACGCAGCCGGTGCTGAGGACTTTATTGCATTGCAGGGGCTGCAGCCACCAGAGCCCCCTGCGGCCAGGACCACGACGGTCCCAAGGGCCGGTGCGGGCACCGGTGTCGGTGCCGGCTCTTGGGTGCTCTGTGTGTGTGTGTGCGATGGAGGCTGGGTCGTGCTGGAGGCTGCCGGCTCCCTGCGAGGTGCAGCCGGGGGTGGGAACACCGGGGCGCCCGGTCACCAGTGGAGATAAAAGCACCGTATGGGGATGGAGGGGGGGAAAAGGCGTTTGGCAACAGCCCGCGGCCAGCTCGGGGAAGGGGTTTGGTGTTGGTGGGATGGGGGAGATCCTGCACCCACCCGGGGGGTGTTGGCATGTTCGGCTGCTCCCACTTACCAGGGTTACATTCAGCAGCGGCGGCAGCGAAGCCCCTGCGGTGCCCGTGCAGAGGGGACACACACACACACACACAGCCCCATGGCCTGGCCACGCACCGGGAACACCGCGGGGAGGGGGGGCTCGAGTCACTTTACCCTGTTTAAAGAATAGGAATTTACACTTAAAAGTAGGGGCTGAGCCTCATCCCGGCCACCGGGTCCCCTGGCTTGGGGGCAGGATCGCGGCGCGGTACAAAACGGGAGCAGGAAAGGGGGCCTGGAGGGGAGGGGGGCGCTGGGCTGGAGGCAGCGGGTCGGGGATGTAGAAATCTGTTAAAAACTCTGTTTTCTCCTCGCAAGGAAGCGGCGTTCGGGCGCTGCTCTCGGAGGGAGCGGGGTCGGGGCGTCCTCCCCCGCTGGGGGTGCATGGGATGGCGGTGCCGGCGTGGACATGGAGGCACGTCCCCGGGACGCGGTGCGGCCGCTGGCAGCAGATGAAGGGCGGGATGAGGAGGGAGCCCAGGCCCCGGCTGCCGGCCGAGGGAGGAGGGTCCTGCTGCGGGCGCTCGGCCCTATATCCTCTGTGGGGAGAGCAGAGCCGGTGTCGGGCAGGACCCAATGCGTTGTGCCACCAGCGTGCGCCATACACGTGCCTGTCCCCATTGCCCTGTGCAGCCAAGGGGTCCCCCCCATCCCATCCCATCCCATCCCATCCCCATCCCACCCGGACGGGACCACCCAGCACAGGCAGGGCTCAGGGATGGGACAAGGACCCTCGGGACTTACCGCAGTGCCAACAAAATCTGTGGAAGCAGAAGAGAAGGAGTCAGGCACGGAGCAGCGGCTCCCTCCCACCCTGCCCCAGCCCTCGCTTTGCCCATGGGACCAGGCTGCTGGAGGGGCTGAGCCCCCCCCCCCATGGGCTATTCCCACCCGGAATGCCCCCTCCATGGCCATGGGGCAGGACCCCTGTCAGTGCTGCGCTCACCTTTGCTCTCTGTCTTGAGCTCCTCGTGCAGCAGGTCGTTCTGCCGGTTGCCGAGGACGAAGGCCAGGAAGGAGAGGATGAGGGCGTTGAGGATGCCGATGATGGCCAGGATGTAAGCCCAGCGCACGGAGCAGTCGCCCAGGGAGTACTTCCCCGTCTTCTCCCCGCACATGTCCCGTATGGTCTCTGCATCCCAGCCGTCGGGGAAGATCATGCAGCCCAGCACCAGGCAGAGCGCTGCAGCGGGAGGGGAAAGGGGAGCATCAGAGGGGATTCCAAGGATTCATATTTACCTTGTCCTCATCACGACGAGCTCCCTGCGGGCGGGCAGGAGCTGCAGGGATGCTGCAGGCGTTGTCACCAGGAGCATGCACACCTCACAGCCCGTGCTGAGCGGGGAGCACCGGGATGAATGGGAAGGGAATGCTGAGGTAAGGAGGCAATGTTTGCCTTTGTAACTACAGCGAGCAGTAGTGAGCAGCAGCTCTGCTCGGGAGCCAGGCTGAGAGCTGGGCTGGTTCAGCCTGCAGAAGAGAAAGCTCCTTAAGGGGAGACCTTAGAGCAGCTCCAATGCATCCCAATGAGCCGCACTGCCAAGGGAAGGGCAGGAATGCTGAGGTGAATCCATGCTCCAGCACATAACAGCTCCCCCCTGCTGCTGCCTGGTTCTGCCTCCTTCATCCCCGTTACAAACCTGCTGCAGGCAGAGGTGAGCTCCACACCCTGATGTCCCCGGTGCCACCCTGGCACTGTACAAGGAGCATCTCCCACAGAGCCACGCATGGGACCGGAGCAACCCAAACCCATCCCCTGTGGAAAGGAACCAGCACCAGCGATGTGTGCTGTGTGCTGAACGGTGAGGAGCAGCCTGTCCCTCTGCTGAGCAGGGCACCTTAGAGGGACAGCCTGGAGATGGGCACTGCTGTAAGAGCCGTGCTGGAATCAGTGAGGGGGGGGAAACAGCCACAAGTGAGGCCAGAGGAGAGTGAAGTTGGGCAGCAACACCCTCAGCAACAGCCCCAGTGAGCACTGAGAACAACGGGGCTGTGCTCCAGGGTGGGAAAAGCACATAAATGGAAGTAGAATACAAAACTCCTCATCAGGTGCCAGTCCAACCCTCGGCTGGTCCCTCCAGCATCCCAACAACAGCCCCTGGGTGGTTCTTCAGGCTCTGCATCAGCGTTTGCTCTGTGTTTCTGAGCATCTCTTAGGGCTCCAGATGGATCCAGCTGCACGGGTAAAGCAGGAGGTCACCGAGAGCCACCGCAGGTACAGGTGTGAGGGTCTGACAGGACATCAGCAGGTCCCACACGTGGCTCGCAGGGGCGAGGTTTAGTGCATGGAGGACACAAGAGACGGGGTTTAAGGGGGAAGCAGCAGCTCAGAACCACACAGCACATGAGCCATGGGTGCAGGGGGCTCTCGCAGCACAGCCCATGATGGATGGGGCTGGCTCCAGCTGTGTCTGCCCGCCCTGGTCCCTCCTGTCCCGGGGTGCCCAGCCCCTGTCTGATGGAGGGAACGAGCCTGCCTGTTCAGTGCCGGGGCAGAGGAGCCCATCCAAGTGCATGCACCCAGATCCCTCCGTCTGAGGGCGACCCGAGGCCTCTTCCCATGAGGGATGCTCAGCAGCTCCCTGGCCACACAAACCCGGTCCTCTCCTGCTCTCCTCTTCCCGTCCATCCCAGCACTGAGCCTCTCTCTGTTCTCTGCTCTGTCACAAGCAATTCCCTTTCCTGCGTGTCCCCAGGCTGCCTGTGTCCTGGGAACACCTTCCCCTGCCTGCAGCATGGAGCAGGAACAAGGAGATGATCCCGGAGGCGGACAGGCCTTGGTGCTGCCCTTCCCACCGAGCCCCTCGCAGTGGGTCCGAGGGACGTGAGGATGGGGCTGTGCTGCTGTTCAAGAGGAACAAACACAACCCAATTCCCATCCATTTTGCTTTAAATTCCCATTCTTCCGAGGGTGCAGTGCCTATCCCTATGGCAGTGCACTGAGGACCAGCACTTTGTCATGCACCACGGCTGCCATCCCTCCGCCAGGCCCTGGGGTCCAACTCCCCCTCCCAGAGTTTTCCCAGTTGGAAAGATGGATTTGAGACTGGGCATTCTGGTGCTCACAGGGGCAGGGTGTATGGGGAGGGATGCTGCTGGGGGCTGGGGCTTCAGCCCTGGGGAAACTGGTAATTCTTGGCTGGTTTTGCAGGTGGTTCATGGCTTGAGGCTCCTCAGTGCTCCCTTATCACTTACAAACGAAATGGGCCCCTCAAGGGCTTTTGATATCCCTGTAAATGAGATCAATTGAAGGGAATTCAGTGTCATGACAGCCTGCAACACTGGAGTGGGATTTCAGCAGGGAGATGAGGCGGCTCCTCCTGGCAGGACAGCATCCCTCCATGGAAGGTGTGCGTAGCTGATGTGCACTGCGAGTAGCCCACGTCTGCTGAGTGCCTGGCTTGGGCACACAGGCTCATCCTCCCTCATGCCAGTGCCTGCCCCCTGCCCTCATGCACATCACTCCCACCTTCCCTGCAGCCACATCTCTCGGCCAGGGGTCGTTTGGTGACCCCCAGCCCCTCATATTTACCTTGTGCCAAAGGGGAGGAAGCTCTGTGTGCCACATACCCACAGCCGCTCGCTGCACTGCTATCAGCACAGGGGGGTCCCCACTGGAGATCCCCAATATGGAATCAACCAGGTTGGAAAAGACCTTTAAGATGATCAAGTCCCACTTTTACAACGTGACTGCCAGGTCCTGGTGCCCCTGGGTGCTGCACGGCAGCCCTGAATCCCTGGGGAACAGGGGATGGGATGTGACTGTGGGGTCTGGAGGAGCTGCTTCTCATAGGAAACCTGAGAGCTGAGCACTGAAAGGGAACAAACAGAGCTTCCCTCCCTCCTTTTCCCCCATCCTAAGAATAGAAACCCCTCACAACTAAATGAACCCCAAAGGCAGCATGCTTGGGATGGCCAACCCCGGCCATTGACACAGACAGCAGCTCCCTCGAGGCACGCTGCTCCACAGCCTGTTTGCGAGCCAGAACCTCAGCAGGATTCAGAATGGAGTCAGGAGGTGGTATGAATCCGAACTGACAGTTACTTTATCTGGAATAACAGTTATGGGATGTCAGCCCCAGGACATCAGAGGTTCAGTCCTTTCCCTGCAGCACGTTAACAGCTACTATGGGAGGGTCATGCTGCCTCCCCATGCCTGAAGCATGGATACCAGGATGCGCTCCCATTGCTGCTGCACGACAGGGGAAGCAGAAGGGGGATCTTCAGGAAAGCTTTTTGGGGCCAGAATCTGGTATTTCAGTACATGCAAAGGGTGGTTTTTTTTAGTGATGCCTCCTTTTTGCTGCAGGGTGGGCAGAGGGAAGCTCGAAGATCATTTATTGGCTTTATTTCTGCTTTGGGCTACTTCACCCTCAATCCCAGCAGTTGTCCCAGGTACCTCCTAGCTGTTTGGAGCAGTGGTTTTCTGTCATCCACTTTTTCCTTAGGAATTCCATATCATTCCATACTCATATCACATCATTTCATTTCCTTAGGACTTTCATATCCACGAAAACAAGCCCTAACCTCTCCACAGACATGCCAAAACGATGCTGTGCAGCTGCACAATGTGAGGGGCCCCACTCAGATGGTGGCAAGTGCAGCTCAGGTGAAGGAGATAAAGCCATTGATCAAGGACCTGCCCCTGCTGGGTGGGAAGGGCCCAGCTGAGAAGTGACTATAACCCCAGAGGGGGTGGGCCCACAGGAGGAATGGGCTGAGATGCTGATGTATTATCACACTGCAAGGTCTCTGATGGCACGATTAGCTCCAAAGTGCTGCTGATAAAGACAAATCCCAGCTCTATGGACAGGGACACAGAAAGGCATCCCTTGTGTTGTGTTTGCACCTGGCCTGAGGGAGCCGGAGGGTCTCCTCATTAACTGATGGACCTGAAATGCAGGGAAACACCTTCAGAAGTGGTCTGTCACTCTCTCCATGCTATGAGGGACCGTGTGCTCAGCTGCTGCCTCTTCTGACCCCCACTAGACTGTAAGTACAAACCCAAAGCCCTCCTGAAAACAGAGCCCTCGAGCCACTCAGAGTGAGCTGCAGGACGTGGTGATGGTTATGGTGTATTCCTGTGCTCTGGGCTCCAGGAGATAGAATCATAGAATAGTTAGGGTTGGAAAGGACCTTAAGATCATCCAGTTCCATTCCCCCTGCCATGGGCAGGGACACCTCACTCTAAACCATGTCACCCAAGGCTCTGTCCAACCTGGCCTTGAACACTGCCAGGGATGGAGCATTCACAACCTCCCTGGGCAACCCATTCCAGTGCCTCACCACCCTCACAGGAAAGAATTTCCTCCTTATATCCAATCTAAACTTCCCCTGTTTCAGTTTTAACCCATTACCCCTTGTCCTGTCACTACAGTCCCTAATGAAGAGTCTCTCCCCAGCATCCCTATAGGCCCCCTTCAGATACTGGAAGGCTGCTATGAGGTCTCCACGCAGCCTTCTCTTCTCCAGGCTGAACAGCCCCAACTTTCTCAGCCTATCTTCATACAGGAGGTGCTCCAGTCCCTGATCATCCTCGTGGCCTCCTCTGGACCTGTTCCAACAGTTCCATGTCCTTTTTATGTTGAGGTCACCAGAACTGCACACAGTGCTCCAGGTGAGGTCTCACGAGAGCAGAGCAGAGGGGCAGGATCACCTCCTTCAACCTGCTGGCTCCTATGAGGTCCTGCAAACAGAGGCATCCACAGAATCAGCCCAGCTCCTGTCCCTGCCCTCCATGGGAAGCAGACAAGCAGGATCACCCTCCCAGCCCATTTCTCTTCAAGTAAGCATCATCCCATGGGACCTTCTGGAGGAGCTCCTAGAGGCCTGGGGTGGCACCAGGGCGCTGTCAGTCATGCAGCTGCCGACGTGCTGATGTTAAAGGCCCGTTCCTGTTTTATAACAGATGGATTTAGTGAAATCTCCAGTTTGGTGTTGCTGGGATTTGCAGAGGGCAGATGGCTGCGCTATCTGCGCTGAAGCACGCTCTTTCCTCTTAATTAGATCCAGTTCCCTCCTGGGGGGGCAGTGCCTTTTGAGCTGGAGCTTTCTGGGAAGCTCTAATTAAAGCCTTCCTTGATTGTCGTCCACTAATGAGACATTGATGATTTAAACCTTCTCTTTGCTGAAAGAGGCACTGAATTCCCCAGCCTCATCCTCCTGCCCCCTTCCTGCTCTTGGTTTTCCTACTCTGAAGTCTTCCCACTCTGCAGCCCTGTATTCTGCACTGGCCAGCCCATAGGGGCAGGATGGACCCACCTCTGCCCCAGCTCTCTGCCTTGCACCTCTTTAACCTGGGTTTCACCAGTGAGACCATGAAACTTTAGGCCTCATTGCTTGTGCTGTAGCGGGGCCAAGTTCTCCTCCAGCTAAAACCTCACTGGGGCAGGAGGAATGCTGTTCCCTTTCCAAGCCCTCTGCTCTGGCACATCCCTCCAGCCTCCCAAGGCAGGTGAATAGCCAAAGCTGGACATCACACTGTGCCAGCCCCTGCATTGGGCAACATCCCTGCCTTATCCATGGGGTTTAGTCCATGGTGTCCTCTCCATGGGTCACAGCAGCTCCTTCTCCATGCACAAGGTAACATCCAGCTGCAGCTGCCTCTGAGATGCCCAGAAGTTCAGCCCTGCCCGGCCCCTCCAAGATAAGGCTCCCTCTGGCCAAGACACAGCACTGCCTCTGTGCCCTGGCCCTTCCTGGTGCTGACACCAGCCTCTCCTGCAGGCCAGAAGCACCCTTCCCATCTCAAGGCAGGGTGGATGGGCAGTCTCTGTTAATGGAGCAGGGCCAGAGAAGGCAATGGAGCTGGTGCAGGGCCTGGAGCACAAGTGTGATGGGGAATGGAGGGACTGGGGGGGATCAGTCTGGAGAAGAGAAGGCTCAGGGGGGACCTGATGGCTCCCTCCAACTGCCTGACAGGAGGATGGAGCCAGGAGGGGCTGGGCTCTGCTCCCAAGGAACAAGGGATGGGACAAGAGGAACCGGCCTCAAGCTGCACCAGGAGAGGTTTAGATGGAGCTGAGGAACAATTCCTGCCCCAGAGGGTGCTCAGGCATTGGAACAGGCTGCCCAGGGCAGGGCTGCGGGCACCATCCCTGCAAGCGTTCACACCCCCTCAGTGCCATGGGTTATTGGTGGCCTTGGCAGTGCTGGGTATGGTTGGACTGGATGAGCTTAAAGGGCTTTTCCAACCTGGTTGATGAGAGGGGAGCCAGCAGGGTGCTGAGCTGGGGCAGGACAGGAGGCACCGGGGAGGAAGCCCAAAGCTGCCTTCAGTGCAGTGTCCTCTGCCATAGGGCTCCCTGTGCAGCAGCAGCAGCAGCAGCAGCAGCTCCAAGCCACTTGATTAAGCTGCTGGCAATCAGTAGGATTTGGGCTCTGAGCTTGCCTTAAACTGGTAAATCTTGAGGGCAGGGAAAATTAAAGATGATGGAATTTCCTGATAAGCCCAAGGTCTGGCTGCGGTCCTGAGCGGGGTGAGGAGAGGGCAGGCTTCCCAGCACAGGTTTCCAACATGGGGGGCTGCATCCTCCAACATCAATGATTGGGGCCCTTCTCCCAGGGAGAGGGACTGGGGTCCTTTCATTAGGAATATGGGGGGCTCTGAGCCCTTCTGCTGGAAGCTCTGCCTCTGTTCACACTTTGCATGCACTGGGGAGTAACACACACACACACACACACACACACACACACACACACACACAATGTCTTTCCACAGGTGGTAAAACTGGAGAAAGAAGGAAGTGAAGGCTCTTTTCTCAGGGAGTTTCTCCCAAAAGAGACCCTCAGTGAGGCCAGCTTGGAGGTCTGTGCATAGCGGGATGCTTGGGATCCTTACCAATACACGCACCCAGTCCCCTTCTGGAGACAAGTTTGGGCTGTTGTATGGTGTTGCTTTGAGTCTACGAGGGTGCTGGGGTATCCCAACTATGAAACCCCATCTATGGTGGAGTTTATGTAGAGGGAGCTAAAGAGGATGTATTGACAGGGCCACTTTTGGTGGGAATAACTGGGCTTGAGCCTGTTATCACCTCTGAGGGACATCTGTGGGAAGTGCTGTACTCAGGGTCTCTTTATAAAGGGGGCTGGGGAAGGTCTGTTCTCACAGCCCATTCATGATGCTGGAGGGAGGGGGACCAAGCACAGCATCTCTTTAAGCAGGAACTGAAGGGTCTGTGTTTGCACAGGTGCTTTAAAGGGCTGGGAGGGGGGTGTGTGTCCATGCATGGGCTCCTGCCAGTGATGGGGTCACTTCAGGAGCTGGGGGGTCCCCTGGGGGCTGGGCAGACAGGGAGACCAGTCCCTGATGTGGGGTGCCCTGGGGGTCTGGGTCCCCAGGGGACTGCTGATCCTAGGTCCAGGGTGTCCAAAGGCATCCTTGCAGCTGGTGCTTGACTCCATGGGACAGTCATGGCAGGGTACCCCAAGGCTGGTCCCTGGCTTGGGTGTAACAGCGTGCTCCACATGCAGTGCCTGGCCTGGCTGTCCTGAGGTCCTCCAGCCTGTCCACACGCCCCGGGGCTGGTGCCTGTTGTGAGGGTCCCTCATGCAGCTTTCCCACTGGGCTTCCCTGTGGAGCCCTGGGTGCCAGTGCCCTAAACTGGTGTCAGTTCCTGGTGCTCAGACAGTGCTAGTGCCTGGGCTGGGTGTCTCAGCAAGCCCTGCGGTGTTCTTGGGCCAGCTCCCGGCTGGCGTGCCCCATGGATCCACAGTAACCATACCCAGCCTAGCTTCATGAAGCCACAGGCCCTGATACCAGTGCTTGGGGTGCCCTGAGCACCCACTCCCGGCACTCACTCAGTGCTGGTCCCTGCCCTGGGTGTCCCAGGAAGCCCGGGAGCCATTCCCTGGAACCACATCCCCGCATCGCTTGGCCCTTGCCCAGCTTCCTTGAGCAACCTCGGTGCTCCCATTACCCAGCTCCCGCCGCTGTCGCCCGGTGCCCGGTGCCGGGGGGTACCTGCCAGCAGCTGCATCCAGGCGCAGATCTTGTAGACGGTGGCGGTGTTGCAGAAGAAGAAGAGGGCGAAGCAGGTGATGCAGCCCAGCGTCAGCACCATGGACAGCAGCACGAAGAAGGCCGCCGCCTGGAAGGCGCCCGAGGGGATGGTGCTGAAGTCGGTGAAGGAGCCGCGGCACGACAGCTCCCGGCCCGCCAGCCCGCTGCCCACACAGTAGTGGAAGAGCCCGAAGTAACCGGGCTTGGGCGTGTTGACGCTGTCTCCCACCCAGTAAGGTTGGATGAAGACCACCACGTTGATGATGGCGAAGCAGATGGTGAAGATGGCCCACAGCACGCCGATGGCGCGCGAGTTCCGCACGTAGTTGTCATGGTACAGCTTGGAGGCTTCCTGCGAGGGCAGCATCCTGCCGGTGGTGGAGCTGGGGGGGGGGGGGGGGCTCGACAGCGGGGAGCCCGCCCCGGGGTAAGGGGATAAAGGAGGGGGGGGCCGCGGCCTAGGCGCGCCCGCGGGCTGCCGGCCCCTGCGCCACCCGCGCCGCCATCTTGGCTGCCGCCTCTGCGCCCCGTGCGCGCCCCCGCGGGTGCGCGCCTCCCCCCCCCCTCCCACCACCACCACTGCGGAGACGAGCCGAGAGGCGAGCCCGCCGCGCGCGCCCCGAGGGGAATCGGACCGCTTCGGCTCCGCCCGCTGAGGGCTCGGCGGGGTTCGGGCTGCTCCCCGGAGCGCGCTCGGTAACTTTCGGCTCTATTCGGGCAGCCTCGGCAAGGCTCGGAGGGGGTCACATCAGTGGGGCTGAAGCGGAGGCTCCGGTATCCCCGCTCCACTAGGGCCGGTCCCCGGCGCAGCCCCGCCCGGTGGCGGCTGCTCTGCCACCCTGTGCACTCACGCGTGTATGCGCGTGAGCGCTCATGCTCCGGGCGGAGAAGCCCCCGGTGGGGGGCCGGCTCCTGGAGCCGCCTGGGGGGTCCGGTGCAACTCGGTGCCAACGTGCTTGTAGAGGCGCTGGGAGCAGCGGGACCCGGTCCGGGGCCTGTCGTGCGGCCCGGCTGTGATGTGCCCCCTGCCGATGTACGCTGGCAGGTGGCCCGCAAACCCTCCCCGCTCCCCGCCGGACCCAGCACACGGGTACCGGACTGCCCGTAGCCGGTGTGCGGCGGCTGAACTCCGCTTTCATGAGCTGCTCCATTCTCTTCCCCGTCCTGCCAAGGTTCGCGGCAGATTTACAAAGCAGACACATGCAGAGTGAAAAAATCTTTGTATTCTCCCGCAACGGAGCCGCCCGCCGGGTGCGGGACAGCGACGCCCGTTAACTCCGTACAAACAGTCCCAGCTAGCGCCCGCACCGCTCTGCCGGTGCTACCGCTCACCCGGCAGCTGCCACCGGCTTCATGCCTGCGCTCCCACCCCGAGAGTTCGGGTTCCTTCCCTGGGGCCCGACCAACTTCGCCCCGTCCCTCCGCTGTCCTAAACGCGGTTTGCGCAAAGCCTCGGCGTCCCCCAGCTCCCGGTGCCGGGCAGCACGGGGAGCACAGCCCGCTCCCCGGCCGGGCCCCGCTCGTCCCGTGGCTCCAGGCCTTTCACAGAGCACCTCTCCCCCGGGGGGTTCGCGGGACCCGCTCTCATCCCGGCGGAGGGCGGTAGGACCGGGGAGCGCGGAGCGGAGCGCACCGAGAGCGCGGCCGTCGCATCCGGATGACGCCGCTGGCGGACGGAAGAAGCGTGGCAGCTGCGCGGCCGGTGATTGGGAGAGCGGGCGGAAGTAGCGGCGGCTGTGGGCGGGGCGGCGCCATGGGCCGGCGGCGGTGAGCGGCGCGGGATGGCGGCGGCCCGCGGCTGCCCCCCGGCGGGCTGCGGGGACCGAGCCCTGGCCGAGCTGCTGCTCGAGTTCTCCCGGGCTCAGTACCGCGCCAAGGACGGCGGGGGCGCCGCCGCCGCTAAGGTGAGGGGCCCGGCTCTGGGGGGACGTGGGTTATAGCGGGGACCGGGGTGCGGTGCGGCGGGTGCTGACCGGTGTCTGTGTGCAGGTGGATCGGATCGAGCGGCGGTGCCTGGAGCTCTTCGGCCGCGACTACCGCTACAGCGTCATCTCCAACGCGCACGGCGAGGTCTGCGCCCACTACCCGCGGCACATCGTCCTCCTGGAGCGCGATGCCGGCGCCGGCCGTGACCCGTAAGGCTCCCGGGCCCCCCTCCCCGCACTGCTGGCAGCTTCGCGTCTTGCCCCGGGGAGCTCCCTTGCCGGCCGGGGGAAGCCCCGTCGGGCTCGCTGTGCCTAATTATAGCGAGCGGTGTCATCGCTTCCGGGCGCCGTTCGCCGCCTGCAGGGCTGCGCTCCCTGGGCTCCTGGGTGAAAGCGGTGACTTGAGGGGTGCGAAGGGACCGGGGCGCTCGAGTAGAGCCGAGCACGGTGTTAGCTCGTACCGAGCGCTGCTCGTGGCTGGGAGCGGGGCTGTGTGATGCTCTCCTTGCCGTGATGCAGTGCCCGTGGTGTTGCTGGAAGGCCTCTGGTTAGAGAAAGTTTAGTTTGGGAAGGTTTTTGAGGTGAGGGTGCTGCTAGAGGCTGCACAACCTCGGCAGAAGTTCTCCCCTCACCACGCTGCATGTGTCAGGGGATGCTGCAGGTTAGAGAGCTAGCGGGAAGTGCTGGCTTGCAGTTTAGCACAAGTAAGCCAACCTCTCTCTGGACTTTGACCTGCAAGCTTACAGTCACGTTGGTCTGGTTTCTGGCTGTTAGCTGCTCCCTGCAGCGCCAACCATAGCCTCTCAGCTTTTGTTTTCTCTTCTGACAAAGCATAATGCAGTTTTGCTGCCTGAACTGCATCCCTGACAAGAGTAACATGCTCAGAAGGATGATGGTCACTGAGTTCTGTTCCTGTGTCCAGCTGCTTTGCTTGAGGAAGGCAAACTGTTAACCACGCTGCTGGCACATGGACTGGGTGCTGTGGGAGGGGGGGGTCTTTAGAAAACAGCCCCAGCTGATTGTCAGGTGAGATAATTCCTGCTTACTGGTTGGATCAGGTTGGAAAAGGTTAACCCCCTTGCTGCAAAAAAAGGGAAACTCAACTCTGAAGCTGTAACTGTGGCCGGGAGTGTTTTTAGGGAAGAGGAACAGAATGCTTCTGCTTTTCTTGTTCTTGCAGGAGGAAAGGATGCTTCATTCCCCTAATGAGTGTTCAGAATACACTTGCACTCAGTGCCCTGTTTTCTTCCAGAGTTTTGCAGTCAGCACTGGCAATTACACTTGAGTTACTGATTCTTTCCACATCTCCATTTGCTGCCTGAGAGAGTCATGGAAACCATGACCTCCATCAGCCCTCTCCCCCTGATTTCTAGGTGATAATCTCTGTAAAAGCTGCTGATTGTTTTTAGACTAATCTGGGTTTCATTTCATCACTGTACTTTATGGCCTAATGGTAAAACAGAGACTGTGCTTCTGTGTTACAGAACACAAATGAAGGGAACGCTTTCTAGGTCTTTGCCTGCTTTTCATCTTGGTGATGTTCCTAACCAGTTGGTAAGATCTTGAAGTGTGCAGGATGCTTCTCACCTCTCCCCAGGGTTTCTGGGAGCAGGTCTTAGCTATGTGAACTCTGCACTGCCCCATCAGCTCTGATGCTGCAGCTCATTCTGAAGCCAGGCAGAGAAGCAGCAACGATTGAGTATTTTAAGCCCAAATTGGTTTCTTGATCCTGTTTCCTCTGTGGCTGGACAGCTGGAGCAAGAAGGGATGCTTCCTCCTCAGAGTTTCTAACAGGACTCTGAAGTCAGGCAGGTGCAGGGGGTAGCAGGAGGAATTTAATGCATGGGTTTGGCTCCTTAGTCAGATGCTGCTCACAAGGACCCTTTGCTGTGCTTAGAGACTTCTGATGTCCCCCCAGAAGGAGCAGGCAGGTGCTTCAGGTGATGGAGACAGAGGGATGTGCTCAGTTCTTTACCGTGGCTGTGCCTGATGAAAATGTCCAGATCTCGGGCACAGGCCATGTCTTTGGTTTGACCTGACCGTACTGTGATGTGTCTGCACTCCGAATGTTGTTCTGGCTACCCAAAAGACAAGCAACTTCAGGCCTAAAATAGAGTTGTTTGCTCTTATAGGAAATGTCTCTTGCATTTGAAAAGATTAATTCATGTTTGGGGTCTGATTTTTAGGGGCAGGGTGGGCAGGGAATTAAGACAGAGATAAGGTTGCCCAGCAGTGTCTTCTGGAAAACAAGCTTCTGAAGGCACCTCCCCACCCAAACACCTGAAAGTCAAAAGAATGAAGAGTTAAGGTACAATTATTCCTTCCACCTCATTCTCCACCTTGTGCCAGGCAGCCTGAGCGCTGCTCATTCATGCTGCTGTTGGAGTGCTCTGGTTTCTGAGCCTTTTTCAGTAGATTTCCTCTTACCTGTGCTGCATTTAAGCACTTCTCCCTGCAAGAGCCTCAGGCCTGCTCTTCAGAGCAGCCTTTCCCCTTACTACAGCAGTCTCCTTACAACTGTGTTTATTTACTATGTTTACCTCTAGCTTTGCTGGTGATGGTTCTTGAGATGAGAAGAACATGGGTTGTGTGCTGAGAGGTGAAACCTGGTGTCTTGTCTCAGCTCCTGGTGAGGTGCTTCTCTCACAATTGCTGATATCTCAAGCGTTTGATTTTTGCTGAATCCTGTGTTTTGGACTTGGAAGCAGTGCCATGGATCTATTTTGGTAGCACCATCTGAAAGTTCTTTTTTCCCTTCTGTATTTGTGTTTGCAAAGGAAACATAAAGACATGTAGAAAAACAACCCCACAACCAAATCTGGATGTCAGGATCTGTCAAAGTTTCAAAATAGTTGGGAATTACACACAAAGGAATCTCTTCTCAAGCAAAACAATACTTACAAGAAGTGTCCTCCTGCTTGCTAACTTCAGGGGTGGCTTGTATATGAAAGGGATGGGGATCACAGGAGATGCTCTGTGTACTGAACCCAATCTCTGTCCACTAGGTTTGAGAGCACTGTGCAGGTTGGCAAGCTGCAGGACCTCATCAACCGGAGTAAGATGGCAAGATGCAGAGGCCGATTTGTCTGCCCAGTCATCCTGTACAAGGGGAAGGTAAAGCTTCATGGGTCACCTGTCTTAGCTTCAGAAATGACCTTTCTCCCCATTTGACCTATGCAACCACATCTTCAGGTGGTTGTCGCCTTTCTGCAGGCTGAAAAAATCCTTCCTTAGGTACAAACAGGCAGCCTGTAGTAGCAGGTAGCCTGTCTAGGCTGCATAAATCATCGGGGTGGGGGGCTTCAGGCTGTTTTACCCCACCATTGCACTATAGAGCTAACATTTCCTCCATGCACATGTCCCTTATGAAGGACCAGAGGTATTTGGTCTTTGAGAGGGGAAGGACAGCTATTGCCACTCTTTTTGCCCCTGACTCTTCCCAGCAGTGATCTCCCTTTGAATAACTTTTCCCTCTAAAGAAAAGTGTCCCTGTGTGTTCCCTGGGGAGGCAAGATTGCATTAATGCTCTTATGAATGTGTGGGCTTGTCTGCAAGGGGAGCTGTAAGAAAGTGAAATTACATTCGTTTTCATGTGGATTAGTTAAACTGCATTGAAGCCCTGTAGGAATAGTCTCATTTAGAGTTTAAATAGCTTCATTCAGTTTTCTTTAGTTCAATTTAGAAACGCTGGATGAATAGCAAAGTCACACCTGTGACCATTTTAATGTAGCTTAACTGAAGCCATCGTGGGCTGGACCTGCTGACCTTTACTGCCTGCACTCATACTGGGACCATCTATAACCTTATCCCCAGGGATGTGGAAATAAGACTCAAGCAGGGTATTAACAGAACACAGAACGTGCTAACTTGGCAGGAGTTAGCTGTATTAGTGAATTGGAGAGCTAGAAGTCAAAATGTGGTTTAAAAACCAGCTACAG